ACCAAGTGTGGAGGATGTGCATAAACTGGAATCCTCGTATGTTACTGGTAAGAATGTAAAGTGGTACAGCCACTGTGGAAAAGATTTTTTCAGCTCCTCAAAAATTAAAAATAGTAATAACATATGATCCAGCGATTCTACTGCAGATGAATACCTCAAGGAATTGAAAACAGGTGCTCAAACAAACATACGTACACAAATACTCATAGTGGCACTATTCCCCATAGCTAAATGGTGGAAGCAATTTACCCAAATGTCCATCAGTGGATGAATTTCCATACAATGGAATATTATTAGGTCATAAAAAGAAATGGACACATGTTAATACATTCTACAATGTGATGAATCTCAAAAACATTATGCTAAGTGAAAGAAGTTAGACACAAAAGATCATATATCATTTGATTTGTTTTATATGAAATATACAGAACAGGTATATCTATGCCAATACAGATGAATATTTATAAGAAGCTAGAAAGAAGGGGAAATGGGGAATGACTGCATAATGGGTACAGTTTTCTTTTGGTGACAAAAACATTTTGGAAGTACACTGAGGTAGTGGTTATAATGTATTAAATACCACTGAATTGTACATTTTAAAATGGATAATTTTATGTCGTGTGAAATCTACACCACCCAAAAAAAACCTTTTTAAAGATGAGGAAAGACTCTTGAGTTCTCCAAGCATATTGCCTATGGCTAGGTGCTCAATAGGTATTTGTGAAACTGAATGCTAAAATATAGTCATGCCCTGTAACAAAATTTATTTTTTGGCATTAGCCAAGATCACTCTAGGCTAAGTCAGCTGAATAAGGTCATCAAACTGAGTCATGCCATCTTAATTTTGAATATAATAATGTGTAACTACAAAGCAAGGGCCTGCTGGCAGAAACTCACGTTTCCCTCTGCCTAGCAAACTCGAACCTGTTTAAACACTCCAGCTGAAATGTCACCACATTGTGGAGCTTCCCTTACCTTGTCAAGCAGAGCTTCCCCCGGGTCTTCCATTTTGTACTGTTCACAGCTACCTATGTACTTCTAGTTCTAAAATGTATCTGTCTCCCCATAACAGTGTTGGTCAGAAGAAAAGCGATGGCTCTAATTTAGTGACACACAATTAGCAAGAAGCACCATGTTGGCAGAGAGAAGGCTTCACAAATGTTTGTTGAAGGACAGAAAGAATGAACTAACAACTGAATGAATAAAGCTTTAGTCGAATTGTGAACTAGCTCAAAAGACAATTCTAAAATCAGAATCCCAAATTTGTTTTGAGTAATGTCAGCATTCTGAAATGAATGTATACCCATCCAATGTGAATCATGAAAGAAACTATCTTTGACTGTTTAAATCTAATGTCTGCTGAAAAACATCCCATCTTTTAATTGACATGCCTTATACATTCTCCCTGAGGTGACTGCTGTGCATAGCATAGCCAGGCAGATGCTCTTAAGACAAAGTTTTTCAGAATAAACATGTGCTAACTTGTCCTCTGAAAGGGTAAACAATGGGTCTTTGTCATTAAGGAAGAAATATTTTAATATTTTTGTAATCAAGCTGCCACCACAGTTCTGCCAGGCTTTTCTTATCTCATGGGAACATTCTCTGATAACAATGCAGTTTTGTGCTACATTTCAAACAAATCTGGGCCGCTGCAGGTTTGCAAGGGGCGAGGACAGTCTTGTAATTACGTGCCTCCATTCTGCTGTCACACGGAACAAGATGAAATTCTTAGCATTTTTCTTTGACCTTGGGGGCACTTCTGAAACTTGAAGCAGCATGAAACTTAAAGGATTCCAACCCACTGAAATAAGAAAATAGAGTGTTCACCTGAAACTAGACCAAACTAATAAAAGAAGACTTTAAAAAGCTATGCTTGCCAATCTCCCGGGTTTCGTAACCCATTCCTGTTTAGACAGCCAATCACTGAGATGAAATTCACTACCAAATTCAGCAATTCTATCACCCAGCTCAGCCACTCTGCTTTACTTTCCTTCCTGGTTCTTATCGAACTGCCTGGCATATATTTATTTGTTTATCGCTTATTGCCTGTTTGTCCCGATAGACTATGAGCTCCATGATAGCAGGACAGGTTATCACGGCTGTGTTCTCTGCAGCTAGAAGAGTGCCTAAGACAGGAGGTGCTGAATTTATATTTGTTGAGGATATCTCTCATCTAAACGATATTCTAAAATTGTGATACTTACAGGAAATAAGAAAGAGGAATTTCAACGTAATTCAAAACAATTTCAAAATCCGCACTCACTAGTGGAACTAAGTCTACTGGCAACATGTTGAAATAATAGTCAGGAAGACAGTAGACCAAGGACCCAGATCTCCTTGCTCAAGGTGAAGCTGAAATCAATATGAAGCACAGACTTATATGATAAGTTATCAAAAAGTATTTGAATGAACTGTCCAGGCAGCAGTTTAAACTCTGAGTCACCAAGTTTTATTTTGACTTACCTCAAAATTAACACCATTCTGGCACAGAAGTGATCCCACTCTGTTGTATATATGTGACCATATCTTTAACATGAGCAAATAATTCACTCAGCAAATATTCATGATAGAAGCTCAGGGCAATCACCCTAGATTTGCTCTCACCATGTCCCTTGACTCCTGGTTTATTTTATTTTTTTCAGCTCTCATGGCGGCCTCAGTCATCCATTTCTGCCACTGCTCTCAGTTCTCAGACCCACTGACAAACCTGGCTTTGCCTCCCTGGCTGCACTTCCATGCATACACCTTCTGGCTTGTTGGTTCAGCCTTTCTAGGAAGCACTTTCTCTGATCCAGGGCACCCCTGGGGTCCTACCTTCTGGCCTGGACCACATTTGAACACAATGCCCCATCCAGAAGGACGCAGGATGCAGCTTACCCATCTGAACCCAAGTACATACCATAAAAATAAACTGCTTCCTCCAACATTCAAAATGATTGGTGACATATTGCAAAATTGCTTATTTTACCCATAAACCTCACGCCCACCCTCAACACAGGAAGATAGAAGAAAATCCAGCTAAAATGTTCTCCTGGTGGGAATACTGCTTGCGAGTTGATCACAGTGACTGAGTCTGGGTCAGAAGAATTAACAAGATGTAGCGGTTCATTCTGATTAATAAAAGAACAAGTTTAATAGTAGTGTGTGTTGGGGTGGGGCGGGGTGGGGGAGAAGGGTTGGGAGGCAGGACCTGCAACCCTTCATCCCAGTTCCCCTGGGGCTGGGCCCCACCTCATTAGCATGTGGTTAGGAAGTGTGCTTCATTCCAGCTAACCGATTAAAACATAACTTACTGGCTTTTAAACATTTCTAAAAGCAGTACATGTTTATCACAAAAACAAAACCATAAAAAAAAAAACAGAAACCTCAAGCAAAATAGAAAAGTATGAAGTAAAATATGAAAGTTCCCCTTTCATTCTCCATGGATTGAGACCTGCTAATAGCTTACGATATACTCTTTTCAGATATTGTCCATGCACACAGAACCTGTTTTTATAAAATACCAATGAACGCTATATGCCATGATCACATTAACTTATTTCAACAAGAGTTCAGAAGTATTTCTCTCTCATCTGGGTAGTATGATGAACTTTTTTCCTCCTCCACAAATTAAGGTCAAGGGATAATTAAAACATACTCATACATTTTAGGTATTTTGAAAAAGAATTCCTCCTTCTGGAGAAGGTCCTTTTCAAAGAAAAGGAAAAAAGAGAACCACTAGACTGAGCATTTTCCAGGTTGAAGGCTGGTTCCCTTTTACTCCCCATTCATGACCAAGTTTCTCATGCCTCTTTCCTGTGTATAATCAAATCCTCTTAGAGAAGACAAACAAAAACAAAACCTACTCCGGATATATGGTACTTCCTTATTCATGAAATATCAAATCAATACACGTGTTACTGTAATTACTACATGTTCTGTGTTCCCCTCAAAGGAATCCCTATGAAAACATACATTTAAAAATTCTAAATTTGGTTTAATGGCAGTCAAACAGAAAAGAAGATTCCCTAGAACTATTTCAGACATAAAAGGATTTTACCCATATCCTCAAGCAGACAGCTAGCTGTTCTGCATTTTTGCATCTGACTACATTCCTTCAAACTATCCTTTTCTCCTTAAACTTTTTAAAATTTAAATAAATGGGAACATATAAACACACCCTGAGAACATTTTGCAGGTTGGTAACAATGGCACAAGCAGTGAGACAGCCGGCATATATTAAGTACCTGCTGTGTGCCATGTACTATGCTAGGTCTTAGGGAAACCAAGGAGAAGAACCTTTGACCTTGAGCAGTCCCCTGGACGGCCCAGTGCCCACACAATGGTGTTTGCCAGGCAAGCTCAGGTGGAGAAGGATTTCCAGATGGTGACAGATGAGCCACATTTCCTGAAAGACAAACAGGAATTCAGCAGGTGAAGAATGGGGAAGGAACTGGGGGTAGGGCAGGGGAAGAGCATGTAGCCAAGCCAGGAAGTTGGAACACAGAATCTTGAAGAGCAGATGAGGAGCTCAGGGCTGCGTGACAGGCGGTGTGATATTGTTGGTGACACAGGTGGGGCTCAAGCAGACAAGAGCTTTGTGTGAGATTCTGCACTTCAATTTCATCCTGAAGGCCTGGGCAGCATCACTAGAGATTCTGTCACGGACTGGGACATACACTGAACTGCCACTTCATCCAAGGAAATGTTAAAAATCTCCATGAACTTCAGTCCATACACATAAATCTTAAGAAAACAGGCCCTCATTTGGGTCTGTGTACCATTACTTTGGACAGAAGAATAACAATCTTGATTATCTGGTTTCCCAGACCACAAAGGAAACATCACATATAAACATTTTTGTGTGTGTGTGTTTATCTCTATGGAATGATGGATGGTAACAATTGGATGATAATAATTTCACAATACATGTAACTCACGTCATTACGCTGTATCCCTTAATCTTACACAGTGCTGTATGTCAGTGATATCTCAATAAAACTGAGAGAAAAAAAAGAAATGCCGCATGAACAGGGAGGGAAATGGAAGCTGCCAGAAGCAATAGACTGACAACAGCAGAAAGGGATGGCTGGGCATCTGAAGACACAAGGTAAGAATGCAGGGGAGGCAGAGCAGGCTGGGGGAAGGGACCTCACAACCATCTGTGAGGCAGCTGGGAGGATCAAATGAGTTGATATTTGTAAAGATTTAAAATTCATGTAAGTGCTAAATGAGTTGGCTGTTCTGTTATACTTCTACTAGAGCCAAGTATCATAGACCCTATACTGAGATGAGGAGAGTGAGGCCCACGGACATGGCCAGGGCTCAGTGCCAGGAAGGGGCTCAGCCAAGAAAAGGAGCCTCCTTTTCTGGCTCAGTCTGGTTTCTTTGCACTATTCCAAATGATAGGGTATATTCAATTTGAGATGGTAGGTAAATGTGACAAAATATAAGCAAGCGTTGCAACTTAAGAATGACTGTTATGCAAAATACAAAGTAAGATGAGGTGCTGGTGGGGAAAGGGGGAGTTTCCTTGCCACTGCTGGCTGCCTGGGTCCTGTGCTGTTCCAGAGAGAGGCTGGAACTGGGGCAACAAGCTGCCCTTCCTCACTGAAGGGGCCCGAGACGTCCCAGGGTCATGGGAAACTCATGCCTGACTCCTGAGTGTTCTTCGTTGCCAGCTCATACCAGATCGAATAAGCCAGAATAAAACGTATGCAGTGATCCCAACATCTCCTATAAACCTGTTTCGTAAACCAGCATCTACCTTGGTCTCTCTCATTCTCTAATTTGTCCAAATCCCCTACCCAATACTCCAGTCCATACTGGAGCTGGATCTCCATGCTTAATCTCTGTGGGAAAATACTAGGGCTTTCCAAATCCTCCTATTCTTGTCCTTTCCCTGGAGGTTTGTACTGTCCCCTCATCGGCTCTCCACCTGCCATATAAACATATGCCCTTGAAATGTGTGGTCCCCTAATTGAAGAGCCTCTACTGGAATGTCCAGCTGATTTCCAGTCCCTGATCACCTGATTGCATATCCTAGTACAGAGAGCTTCAAAATAACAGATTGGAACCTTTGTGTTTCATGGACACTGTGACAAAAGCCTTTTGGCTGTTCTCCCCAGAGACAGCTTTTGTGGCCAGGACAAATATAACACATTTCCCTGAAAAAAAAAAAAAATGTTGCATGCAACCCAAAGGGTAAATTGAGTTTGGCTCTCCTTCAATGTAAAAATCGATGGGAATCAGATTTGGCATGACCCATGCCTCATGAGTTGGCAAATGGCCAAACACAGACTCAACCAGACATGCTTTTATATGTCAATGCAACATTTTCCATATGCAGCCAAGCTGTGCATGAGGCTGCTCTCTGAAAATATATAAATAAATCCACTTCACTGCCTTAGTTTCATATCTGTAAAAGCAGAACTGATCATTGGAAATGCTGACATAATTCACTGGAGGACTGTGAGAAATGAACTATATTTGTAAGCATTTTTGAACATGAAAGGGATATTACTGAAGCATGGAGAGCATTCTAAAAAAAGAAATCACTTATTTCTTGTCCTGCATTTAAAGCGTAGTTTTGTGGAACTTGATTTTGTTTTAAAATAATCCAGGCACTTAAAAGTACAGGCACAGTTTTTATAGTTTTAAGGTTCCGGGCCTTCCCTGAAACTGTTAGGGACACAGTCCATGTCTGTTAGTATAAGAGACACCTTTGTTTATAGAACATTAGGGCTGTGACAAAAACTGACACAAGCCAGGAAATATGAAAGTTAATGGTGGTACTTCATTCTAAATGTATGCTACAGGGCTTCTGGTTTTCTACAAAGTCTAGATTTTAAAGACAAAGTTGGCTTTAATATTCAACTCTCTATCTTTTTCCAGCTATAGTCATAGCAACAGTTATTTAAACAAATGTCTTTGAACTTCCTTAATTTTAAGAAATGACCCTTAGGTTTAATGAATATTATAAAACGCTTATTGTTCGAGCAAATGAGTTGGCTTCCCATATGGATGTCTATATGTAAGCATCACAGACAAGCATAATGTGAGCTGTGAAGACCGGGATCTCGCACAGGAGACCTAAGATATTTTCATTCTTACAGCATGTTGGCCATTCTCAAAGGTCAGGTCCTTTTATCTCCATGTTAAAAATGCCCTCAGTTGGATGGATGAAGTTTGAAGCAAGTCTCAGTTAGTGATATGGAATCTAGCTGAGTGCCTCTCCACAGTAAGTGGGTCAAGTGGACACAGAATTCCCCACCACTGCCATGCAACAACCTCATGGAGAGATGTGTCTGTATCTGCAGGTCAATGCAGTCCTCCGAAAGCAGACAATAGAGCATTTTTGTAAATGGCACAAAAATCTTTATGGTTCTAATAACAATGCACTTTCATATTGGTAATAGTCAATTACCTTGCTGACACATGAAGTTGAGGAAACCTGCTCTGTTTGAGCAGCTTCATTCTATGTCGCTTAGACCAACAGTGGGTCTGACCATGGGTGTGCAACAGAATCATCCATGAAACTGTTGTTTTTAAATGCAGCTATCCCTTTTCCCCATGGGCAATTCTGAATTAGGAGGAGTGGTATGGGGCAATTGGTAGGTAGGTAGATAGGTAGATAGACTGGCCAATCAATTGACAGATACAGAAAGAGAAATAGATGATAGGTAGGTATACAGACAGGTGGACAGAGAGGTAGGTAGGTAGGTAGATGGACAGACAGAAGTACTTTAATTCTATAAGTGATCTTGATAGGCTCCCCACTGCTTGTCTTAGGTGGTCTAAGGCCACATCATTCAACTGCCAATGAAAATTAATTCAGTTTCTACATAAGTATTAGCACACAATAAATGATATGCCTCAGGCTTTATTTCAGCCACCTTATTCATTTGTCCTCTTAGGGAAAGGTGCTGCATTAGATGGTGAGGTCATGGAACAGACATGGCCCTGTCCTTGACAAGCATGTGACAGACACATAAAAGAGCACGACACTTCACCTGATGGGTGCTGCAAGTGGGGCAGGAGAGCGTTCTGTGGGGCGGGAGGTGGGAGAACACCAATTCCGTCCAGTGGAATTGCAGAAGGTTCTCCTTCAGGGGAAAGGATACTTGCACTGGTCTTAATCAATGAGGCGACTTTGCAAGGTGGCAATGGGGGATGTGGAGCAGCCCAGGCCTTCTGTGTATAAGGATTAGCATGTTTAAATTATCTGTGTTTCTGGGTGTACTGAGAAGTGCGGAGTGGCTAGCCCACAGCATGTGCGAGTGAGGGGGACGGGGAGAAGGGGCAGGAGGTGGGGCAGGAAGGCGGTCAGGACGGGGAGGGGCATCCATGCACCAGTGACACTGCAGATAAAACCAAGATAAAGGTACCTTGCAAGCCTCCTTTGTATTCCTGGGAGCACCACCCAATGCTGGATGTTTGATTTGTAAAAACACTTAGAATCAAAAACCCTCTGTCACTTTTTCAAGGGATCTTTACAACCACATGAGATATTAAGCCAAATATTATGAAAGATGATTTCATTAATTTTTATTGTTTCCATTAAAAGGTATGTATTAAGTCTAGTGTATAAAAAAGTCACCATTTATTAAGCAAAATACTCAGAAAACAAGCTATCAAATCATCCCTGTGTTACAATCTTTGAGGTCACTGTCAGTTCAAAATGATCTGAAACTCATTCTGAGGAGGGTGTGTGTGTGTGTGTGTGTGTGTGTGTGTGTGTGTGTGTGTGTGTGTGTGTGTGTGTGTGTGTGTTTGGAGGGGAGAATAGGACCTATTTCTCTATCCCTAAAAAGCAGGACACCTGGGGTGAGTCACATGATATAGCAAATATAGCATCGGTGTCTAATAGTGGCTCTGACCCAGCCACGCGGCACAGATACACAGTTAGTGATGATTAAATCATAGCAGTGCTATTTGGGGTCTAATAATGTACCTTTTCTATTACATAAAACTTGACAAGGGATTTTTTGCATCTCTTATTAAAACTCACATGTAAAATCTCACCAGAAACAGTTTTTGCCATGGTGATGAATCGTCTCTTAATATTTAATTTGCTTGGGAGACATTAAAGGAGACAACAACCTTCCTGATTAGGAAGTAGGTGACTAAGTCTCTCCATAGCAAACATAGGCTTCTTTAAGCCATCTGAAAGGGCTGGGTTACAGAAAGCCTGGATTCAGTTTACTGTGCTCCTCTCCTGAGCTGTCATCCAGAAGAAGAGGAAGGGGGCAGAAGCTCACTGCTTACTTTTACTAGGAGGGCATTTCTGAGAGCGTATGACAGTGGTTCTCACCCTGGTGTCCATTAGAACATGGGGGGGCTTTGGAACAGGTCGACCAATGTCCTGACCCCACACCAGAGACTCTGAACTGATTAGTCCAGGTGAGGCTTACAGCCTGGTATGTTTTAAAAGCTCCCAGGCGATTCTGACGGGTGGCTAGAGCTGGGAACCACCACTGTAACTCTCAGGAGGGCACAACATATGTCTATGGTGTATAAACTGCTCTCGAGATGCTTACAGTCTGATTGGGAAGAAGACTCAACTGCAGAGTAATGTTGGATAAACCACTCTTGAGTATAAAATGTGTGGTGAGCTGTGAGTGCCCTGAGAAAAGGCAGGGATTGAAGATGTCATGAAGATGATATATGTGCTGGACCTTGAAACAGGGCTGGAATTGTGTTAAATGCTCTCTTCCCATCTCACTGCCACCACCCAGTCAAGAGTCAGTGGATTTCATTCTTAGGAGCTTCCATTCTTGCCTCTGTCCTGTCTGTTCTTCCCATTGTTATGCTGGAAACCACCGGTTCGATCATGTAATGCCTCTGCCTAAAACCCTTCCAAGGCTCCTGAGAGCTCCTAGAACAGAAGCCAGAGCTCAGGCCCACCATGACTGGCCTGAGACCCCTGGCCAGCATCCGGTGTCCCTTCTCATGCTGTCGCCACACCCTGGCAACATGGGGCTTGCTTTTTGTTCCTTGAATGTCCCAATCCCTTTCCTGTCTGGGGGCTTCTGTGTTTGCTGGCCACTCTGCTTGGGACATATCTTCCCTGGCTCTTACAGGACTGATTCCTTTTTATCCTTTAGGTCC